ATGAGTTTGAGCCCCACACTGGGAATTTTTTGCTTTAAAAAAAAAAGAGAGAGAATGTTTAAGTTATTGCAACAAGCCATAAAAACCATGATGGATTATGAGTCAGGGTTGTGCCACTATTATTAAAAAGAGGACAACTTCACTATGATGTTAGATGGTATTAAGCGGAGAATGACATTCTACTCCCTGGATGTCATTCCTCTTCAACCATCCAGACCCCTCATTTTGAAGGACCACCCACAAAGGCATCCTGGGTCCTCACAGCTGGAGTTAATCTCACTTCCTTTGAATACCCAGAGCACCTTGCACTAGATCTGTGGGTGTTTATATAACTGTCTCATTTCCTTAAGGACTATAAGCTATTTGAGGACAGACTCCATGACTAATTCCTTTTTGTATCACTCAGTATCATACTAATGACCCTCCGTAAATCTTTAATGAATGAACTGGAACATAATTCTCCCACTATGTTAGAAATCTGAGTCTACAGTGGGTCCATAGTCTCAGAGATCAGCAAAATAATTGGAAGGTTCAGAACAGAATAATGAAACAGAATGATTAAAGAGTGAGAGAGGCTGAATCTATACTGGGGAGAAGGGAAGTCAAAGCCACTCAGCCTAGAAAAGTGATATCACTTTGGAAAGTGATATCAAGGGATCTTCAAATCTATTAAAGAGATAATATTAAAAGAGGCCTGAAATTCTTTTGTTGGAGCAAAACAAAAAAATTACCCAGATGTTAATGGGGTAATATGGATAAGGCCTGCTAAAGAACTTCCAGAGGATAGACACTAGGGTGGTATGACATACTGGAGGGGTAAATGCCTTGCCTTCTGTATGCCTGCAAAGGAAGAAAACATTTGATGAGGAAAAAGACCCTGGTAAGCTGTTTTTGCAAAAATTACTTGTGAAACAATTGTAAGCTTTCAAGTTTCAGGATTTTTTTTACTAAGATGTTGAAACCTGTTTTAAAGGAGAAGGGGGATTTATTCCAGGAAGGAATGAGACTCAAGTCTGGGATTTGGAAAGCAAAATGGGACCAACCCACAGAGAGAGACAGCCTTTGATGTCCTGACGATCGAGGACCGAGGCTTAAGGACCAGACTCTTAAATCACGTGGCATTTACTGCCCCAGATTAAAAAAAAAAACAAAAAACTTTTGTGGATCAGTGTCTGTGGTTCAAAATGGCTAGATTCCAAAATCAGTCTTAACTTTCCAAGGGTAACATTTGGAAGGCTCCTTGCAAGAACGGAGTGGAGCCAGTTTCTAGAAAGGGCAGCTTAATGATTTTCTACTCTCCCCATCCCCAAATCATTAAACAGTGTTCCTTTCCCAGAGCCCAAGTTCATGCTGAGGGCAAAGGGAATTAAACGAAGAAGCTGAACCTGCAGCTAAGATTAGAGAGTTGCCAAGGACCTAATTTTAGGTCCTCACTGCCCCAGCTGACATTCTGTGCTGCTGGCTCAGCTGTGCGGACCGCAAGTGTGGCCGTGAGCTGGCGGCTGAGAGGGGCGAGCATCTCCCCTGCCATCTGCAAAAGCAATTAGTTTGCTGTTGGGTGTGTTTTGAGAGAGACTACCAATAATTTCCCCATCAACAAATGTTTCTTCAGGTGTTCAAGAGTCAATAAGGGAAAATGTCAGCGCTTGCCAGAAGTTCCCACATTCTTGCCATTCTAATATTCATGCTTCTCCACTTAAGAGTGCTCCAAAAGGGAACTAATGTTGGAAACCCTGAATTTCATGGCAAGTAACCCCCTGCTTTCCTCTGGCTATAAGCATACTGCCATGATCCAGAGAAAGTGTTGTATGGGATGACTCAAGTTTGGGGAAATAGACATGGGTAGATGGGAACAATTCTTGCGCATTGTGGGAAGTCTCTCTGCCACTCTTCCACTGGGATTTAGGCCGTCCCTCCACGCTTCACATATTTCTCAGCCACAGGTTTCATGCTCAAATTGTCTTCTTCAGAGGGCAAACAATAAGAGCTGGCATCTCTCAGATCAAAGGGGAAACAGAATATATTTTAAAGTGACAACTTTGTTATCCTGCAACCAGAATAAGCCAGAATAATAAAATGATATAAATATAAGCTCCTAAATGATTCCATACTGAAATGCCACCAGAGAACAAAATTTCTTGCATAATTACAGCAGGGAAACTCTCTTTACAAACCACTCACAAGAGCATGTCTTATTTTTGCACAATTCTTATGCCTGGGGCAGCCCACCACAGAGACAGAGATTCTGTGTCCCTGCAGGTTGGGAACTGTGATAACTGTCTGGGGCTCTCTGTCCACAAAGGAGGCTCTTAATAAAGGCTAACTGCCATTGGCAATGTAAAAGTAGGCTGGCACTGTTAAGCCAAGGGGGTGCATCCCTGAGTAGATATGTACTTGGTAAGGGCCACTGCTGTCAAGGTGCACAGATTGGCTCCAGCTGCTCTCTCTCCTCCTCTATTTTTCTTTCCTATTTTCCTGATAGCCTTGCTTTTTCTTTCTACTTGTCCCATGTCCTATCTATCTGTTGGTCTGTCTCTAAACCTATTTCTGCACCCCCTCCCTCATGCACACACACACACACACACACACACACACACACACACAATCCTGCCACCCCCCCTTCCCTGTCTCTTGGCACTGGCCCTTTCATCTTCTCCCTCGGGGATTCGAGATGTCGCTGCAGGAAGTGCTTGTCGGCCGAGGCAGCAGCAGCAGAGCCCTGTGGCTTTGACAAACCTCATTTAATTGGGAGGAAGCCAGGAGAATTTGAAAGAACTGAAACATCCACGAAACTCCTTTTATCAGGCATAATTTAAACTCTGCATGGAAAAACCCCTATATGTATAAAGAAAAGTCAACTTCCCTCCTGCTGTGAGCACTCCTCAGCTCCCCCCCAGCGCAGGCAGGCTCCTGCAAGATTCCATCTTTTCATTTTTCTAAAAGTGTCAAAGTAGATTTAGGCTCTGTGGCTGGGTGAACAGAGAAGGAATACAGATGGGTCTCTCTCTTCTACCCGCACATGGGTGTGCATGCTAACACACACACACACACACACAGCAGAGTCCCTCTGTTGGTGGCTTTGCTTCAGATAGCCAAGAAGAATCAAAACCCGAGTTTCTAACAACACATCAGTTTGGACAATGACTGTTTCTTCCTAATTACTGTTCATCAGGTGAAAGCTTATGCCCAGAAAATTTTGAAAGTCCCCAGTGGTTCTCAGTATGTAGAATAATAGATCCTGGATGAGGACCAATGAAGGAGTTTCTTTAAGTGGAGAGAAGGGAGTGTGAGTGTGTAGGAGTGTGAGGGTGTGAGTATGTGTGTGCGTGCACACTCCTGAATGTGGATATTTGCCTGAAGTGGTAGTTAGAAAGCCTGGGCCCAAGAGAAGAAAGCTAAAGAGGGCTCTAGGGGCTCAGATCGGGGACAGTGTATCAGGATGAGAGTAGGGGAGCAGATGAGGGTACAGTGGGAATGAGGGTCCTGGAAAGCGGGTAAGAAGTGTAGTTGCCTGGAACATCTTTTGTTCCACACATATGCCAGTGTCCCTACCCTCCTTCCACATTCCAATCCAGATTCACCTCCAGTCCAATCCATCTCATGTGAGTTATTCTAATTCTTCCAAAGAATTGCCTTTAGCATACACATATCCTCAGAACATCTGTGGCTGATTATGTACAGACTTGAGCTGTTTAGATATGATTTGTGCTAATATGTGTACAAAGGTGCCCTGTTTCCTCTTCCTCACCCTCTTTTCCTCCCACACTGTAGGATCCTTGCGGTCAAGGACAAGCCTCTTTCTTCCCTCAATTTTTATAGCACTTAATATGTTCTTGACACTTAATGGCGACTTAATAAATACTGATGACTAACTCTTCCTACAGGGTTAAGTAAGACATTAACCCCAGTTTATGATTATGATTATTTTTGGAGATCCTAAATAACTCATTTTAATAATGAAATGCCTCAAGAAGTCCCAATCTAAGAGTTCTGGGCTGAGGCAGGACAATGTCCTATTTGCGTAGGGCTGCGTTTGCAGACCATGGAGCTTTTGGCTGGACCATATGTCTAAGCCCCTTGGGCAGCAGCTCTCTCCTCTGTCCTTGTTGTCACCCCTGCATGCCTTCTTAGTGCCCTCTTCCCAGCCGGAGTCCCTATACCTTCCTTATTAGCCTTCTTTACTCCTGCTTAGGGCTTCTGAAACTTTTTTTCAGTTGAATGGTGGATGTTTCCAGAGAAACTCTACCTAAGCATGGTCCCCCCCAAATAGCCAGGCCATGACCACACTGCCCACATCCTCTGCCTAGCCCTTCCTGGCCACATTCTGAGAAACATGAGGAGAGCTCCAGCCACATGATCCCTCAGCAGATTTCGGATTTGGAGGATGACTTCAGGCCCAAGCAGCAAGGCTGATTTCAGGGTAACTTGTGTTTCCCCGTGGGCATCCGGCCTGGGAGGACACCCCCCTCCCCACAGCGCCCCACCCCAGTACTTCCTTCAGCAGCATCAAATTACCAATCGAGACAGGCCAGCTCTCCTCATGTGACATCTCCATGTCACCTATCATCTTACCCTCTATGGAGAGAGAAGGGGGTTGTTACAAACTTTGGTTTTGCTTCTCCTGGCAGATGCTAGCGAAAACAAACAACTCAGAGGCAACTTTCATCTCATCCAATTTCTAAGAGTGTATATGTGAAATGTTTGGATCATTACAAGGAGGTCTGTGTCACTTCAACCCACCAGTGCTTTTCAGTTTTAGAGAATCTCATAGAAAACTCAGGCAAGATTGGGTCCCCTCTTGCTTCTCCCAGGCACACTGATCTCTAGGCTCATTTCTGGTTGCAAATTCTGATTCTCCAGTGCTTGGAGAAGACGCTTAGACACTGAGATTTACACATGTGCATGTACATACACATGTGTACTCTCTCTCTCTCTTTCACACACACACACACACACACACACACACACACACACACACACACACACGGTCCCTCACTCACCATCAGGGAGCTGGTGCAGCTGAGCAGGCAGGGCACTGAAATAGTCATGAACCAGTGCTTCCTGGGCAGAAACTCGGTCTCTAGGAAAGCCTTTCAGCATTTGGGAGGCCAGGTCTTCAGCTTCAGGAACCCTGCCCAACCTGGAAAAGTGGAAGAGAAAAATAGTTTCTCCAGAGGTCTTCCTTCTGAGAAATAGAGGGGGAAAGAAGAAAAGGAGAGAAAAGGAGAAGCCTAGAAGTGTGTTTCAGGTAGAATATCCTGGGATTAGTATAATTGATGGCAAGCGGAAAAATAATACCCGCACAGGTACTCTTACCTATCCTCAGTATGCTCTCATTCAGCTTCTACCTCTCCACTGGCTCTGGGTACCACGTACATACATAAAGGACCCAGAAATATCATTATAGAAGCAGAAACATGTAATTAAGGATGCTTCTATGAGCGACAGTGCCCACCAAACAGAAAAGCCCAATTTGACATATGTTCCGAGGGCAAATCCTGGAGGGGAGGGAGGAAAAGCAATTTTGGAAGGTGACACTTGGGTGGAAAATACCCCTATTTACAGTGTTCCTGAAGCTCAGCTTCTAGGATATTACTTAAGAAGTTTGCTTGGTTTCCTGCTGAGATGGAGCATAGAAAGAGAGATAATGAAGTGTCCAAATTACAGTAAGGACAGATCCTCAAGTTGATCTGTGTTGAATTGTAAATTTGGAGATGAGCAAATCTTTTAGTTGAGCAAGTACTATATGCTAGTAGGTGGTTGGCTGTGGAAGATACAGGGAAGGATCTGCCTTCTGGCAGTTTGGACTAGAGGGAGTCAGACACTAACCAAATTATCATAGAGATACATAATTACCTGTGAAGAAAAAGCCCAGATATCTGACTTAGAGTCAGAGCTGGTCAGGGAAGGCTTCCCTGAGAAGGAAGCATTTGAGCTGAGAGTGAAGGAATTAGGGCAAGGGAGGGGCAGGCTGTGCAGGCTGAGATCTGTGGTGCTCACACAGACCCTGGGATTAGAGGGAGAAGAGTGAGTTTAAGGAAGGGAAGAAAGGCCAGTTGGCTGGCCTGGGACAGAGCGAGAGAGGGGACAGACCTGAAGCTAGGAGGGTGGTAGGGGCTGAGCCTGCAGGACTTATGAGTCTTAATTTTCTTATTCACTTAGAGCATTTGAAAGTCTTTGCTTTTCTAGTGCCAATCATTTAAGTGCACCCATCTCTAGAGCCCACAGCCAGGTTTACAAGTGGAAAGCCACAAGACAGAAAAGTGTGCAGATTCCAGGAGGCAATTAACTGCAGGCCTGATGTCTGACATTCAGAACGAAGTTGCATGGCCACGCAAATCCCCAATTAAGCAAAAATAGATGGGCTTATTTAATGTTGAATATACATACCAACCTAAAGCAACAAAGAACTGATACCTTCCCTTTCCTGGTGCCCTGATGCACTGATGCTGGAAGTTCTGGCCCAGAGCTGTAAGCTGGCCAATTTTTGCATAAGATTTACATAAAAAAACTTTCAGGTAGCTGATTCCCATGACATAAAACTGTTTCTACAAACAGATAACTTTACCCTCAAACCTAGGAATAATTACTTCATAGACTTATGATAGAGGACAATTTGCAAATCCCCAGTCCTTGCCAATTTCCAGACTAGTTAAAAGAGAAAGGAACACGCTTGTGGCTTGAGAAAAGGCTGGAGGGTATTTTCTGCATCCAGGGTGCCCTGCCCAGGCACAGGTTTATAGGGAAAATGAAACAGGGGTTTGGAATGGGGAAGGTGATACAGATCACTAAGGTCTGATAATCAGCCTAGAAGGACGTTAAAGGAAAAATCTTGTGAAATTCTCTACCTAGTCCACTCTCACTATAGGTGGGAGGATGGGATGTGTGCCAAATTTGGGGCCTGAACCCACTCTATGAAACTCCAGGGGTGGGTGGGTAGGTGTTGATGGTGAGGGGGGCATCAGCTTCCACCTCCACACTCCCACCCCAGTGAATGGCTAGTTCTCGCAACCCTCCTACCCATTGGCTCACAATAATTGAATTGTTACAGAATTGCTCTATAGACGGGGCTTAGGAACTGCAATCTCATTGGATAAGGAAGACTAGGAAACCTACTTGAACTTGTGTTAGCATGGTATGCATACGCTTTGTATTTGGACGAGGTAGCTGGGGAAGCAGGGAAAGGCTGATAGAGCTTCTTATGGAGTAGAAGGATCTCATATAAGAAGAACTGGCCATTTTCACCACGCCAATGAAAGAAAGGAGACTAGGTACTGATCAGCAATATGAACGCTTCTTTTTTTTAGGACTTTTCTTTTCAACTAACTAGCTCTCCCCCAATCCTTCCCACAAGGTTGTATCAAGGCTTTTCCTGGCACCTCTGTTTGTTCTAGTCTTATGGCCTCCAGGCTATGACAGCTACGGCACACTTCTCTTGCTCCTTATCCCATGAGCCAAGTTCATGTTGCTCTTCCCTGTATACACCAAGTCCATGCCCTCCTGAATATGAGCCTTTACTAGCAGCACTTGTAGTGAGACTACCCCATCTGAAGAAGCGTCCTGATAATCTCTACCTTGTGATTGGCATGTTGCACTCTTATTTGGGAGCTGCAAAAAGAGCCCTAGGAATAAAAATCTTGCTTCTTTGGGCACAAATGTTAATTTATTTCCATGTTTGTATCATTCTACTTCCTTCTGCCATCTATAATATTGCTTACTATCCACTGCCTTTATCACCACATTTCTACAGCTTGCCACCTCCTCTAACTCTTGCTAGAACAAAGCTTCAATGGTTACAACCACTACTTTGGAAATCGAAGTTGGGAGGGAAAGTGACATTAACAAATGTTAATTTGCCTACCAGCATCTTTCCACATAGGCTAAATGTCAGTAAATATCATGTGTTAGGCTTGTGGTGTTAAATCCCAAACAAGCCAGGAACATCTTGCAGAGTTAGGTGAACCCACCTACCCAATTAATGGGAGTCTGTTAATAAAGACAAAAATCCTCCAATGAACACTTCCTTCTAGTAACAGTTCCAGAAGCAAGAAGTGTTCCATTGACAACATAATACATATTTATTAGAAACACTTAGAAAATGCAGAGAAAGAAAATTAAAACTGCTCCATCCTTCTGAGATAACCCCCTTCACTCAAAGATGATCATTATTGCTTTGATGTTGTTTTTCTTCTTTAGTCCTCTATTTTTAAGTGGATATATTTTTGTTTTACAAAAAAAATGAGATCATACTCTGCATGCTGTTGTAACCTACTTTTTGTACTTGACTATTTTGATCATCTTCTAGGACATAATTTTAATCGCTGCGTAGCATTCTGTTATGTGGGCATACCATAATTTCCATAGACAGACCCTTGTCAAAGTTGTTTCCTTTTTATTGGAGTGTGAGAGGCTACAATTAAAATCATGCTGTGACTCCTCAATGAGAAATTTTGTGTAACTGTGCAGTGGTTTCCTTAGTATAAATTCTGAAAATTGAAATCCCCAGATTGAAGGACATATAATATGTTCGAGTTTTTGACTAAGACTATGAGCTAGTTGTACTAATTTCCATTTCCACCAGCAGTCTGGTAGAGTTCCTTTCTCTGTGTGCACAGAAAACAAATTCATTCCAGCAGACGTGAGTTGCCACAGACTTCATCACTTATGAAAGTTGTAAAAAGAATTAAAATTGTAAACCAATCCTAAAGGAAGTGCCGGGTGTGAAGACATCCACATTTAATTTTAGAAGTCCAGAACAGAAACATAAACAATAAGAAAAAATGAAAATTGGGCTTTGTGGTTGTGTGAAGCTCCATCCACTGGCCATCACTGCACACATGTGAAATCTGGTGGTTCTCAGAGGCCTGGGGCAATAACCTTGACTTCTCAGCACAGCCTGGCTCTGAGTATAAAAATCTCCATTGCCATTACTGCCACTGACCTTTGCAGTGGAAGGTTTTATCTGCTTGCAGCTCAAGGCTGGTCATTGTTAGTTCCCCTGGGTTCTTTATTGTTTTGCCCTAGATCCATAGAAAAAGAAAAAAGGGCAGGGATTTTTTTTTCAATTTCTTTTTTCAGTTTTATTTGTTCTTATTTTGAAGTAATTTTCGGTTTACAGGAGAATTGCAGGAATAATACACAGAGTTGTATGTTTCACCTGCTTTCCCCAATGTTAGCATTCTACATAAGCATAGTCAAATTATCAAAGCTGAGCAATTACCATTGGCACAATGCTACTAAGCTGCAGGCTTTATTCAAATATCATTGGTTTTTTTCAATAATTACCTTTTTGCCATTGCTCCGGGAGAGTGGGTACTTTTTTAATGTTGCCAGTTTAGGACATGGTAAAGCAGAAACCCACAATAAGAAATATATCCAATACTAGGAAGAAACAACATCAAAGGCTGTCTCTAATTTTCCAATCAATGTAACAAGTGAGTGTGCACTTACTAGGCCCATGTTGATTGGGTCACCACCAAACCCAAGGCAATGCCCTGAGGTGCATTTATGCACAGAGGTCCATGCACAGTTCTTCTGTACCTTGCAGATATCTTGTAGAAAAGCCAGTTTTCAGCTCCTCTTTATCCATCACACTTGCAACCTGACTCAACTGACAAAGTCACAGAGACCTGTATACCGGATGAATCTGGGCTCCACTTGGCTTGGTGACTTGGGCCAAGTTACTTCACTTCTTTGAGTTTCAGTTTCCACCTCTTCGAAGTGGAACTTTGGTTTGTGAGGAATAAATGCAATAATATATTCAGCACCTTGCTAGGCACATTGCAATCATTCTGCCTAATGTTAGTTCAATGACAACGTTGTTCTCAGAGCTAAGAATTTTCTCATATGATAATATAGACCTGTGTTGTCCAATACAACTTTCCATCATGATAAAAATATTCTATTTCTGCCTCATCCAATATGTTAGCCACTACTCACATGTGGCTATTGGGCCCTTGAAATGTGTCTAGTGCAACTGAACAATTAAATTTAAATTTAAATAGCCACATGTGGCTAGTGGCTATTGTATTAAGCAGCACATCACTAGATATTGCTCCCTGATTTGAAGCCCTGAGCAAAAAGAAACCAGAAGTCTGAGCTAAGGCAAAGTTATTGTTGAGACAAGGAAATGGGCAGAGGTGGTTGGTCTTTTGTGTGGTCAGTAAAACCAGAGGGACATTCAGTGGATCCAGGTCCTGCTAGGTCTAGAAGGAAGGGTTGGTGGCGTGATAGCAGGAGGCTCGTGGCACTTTCTTCTGCTCTGCAACAGTGCCACCAGCAGCAGCAATAGGGGATTAAGGTGATTGTTAGGTTTGGAGTTACCATTTATTTTGGAAGCCAATAGTGAGATGGAGGAAAGCTCTGGGCAATGCTAAAACCCACATATCTCTAGCTGGGTCTAGGGAACCTGACTGTACAGGCAAGAGAAAGTTTGCACACCTTGAACGAAATGGTAAACAGTGGTTCCCTGGAACCTGTCTCCAAAACAATGGGGGGGGGGGTTCAGGTGATACAGTGAGCTTGAAAATAAGAGTAGAGAGTGCAGCCCTCCAGAGGACACCTGTCCCTTCCAACAAGAGATCCTTGGTAGCCCACAGCTCTATGTTCTGACCTCTTTGTGCTCTGATATTCACTCTCCAGGGAAGATTTTTAAAGCACATGAACAGTAAGTATGAAAAAAATCAAACAAAATTTGGTTGGTTTAAACCCTACCACATTTTCAGGGAAGAACAATGTTCAAATGTTCAGTTAGGATCTCTTCTCCTTCTCCCCACCTGCGAGAGTGTGTTTTTCTTTGACATTTGAGCTTGTTCCCCCTGTCTCTGATGTTTTCCTCACTGCCCTTTTTGCCTCCTCACTGAAGCAAAAAGAACAGAGCCTCGGCTAATTACTCTCAGATCAAATAATACTGGTTATTGTAATTGGTCATTGTCCGAAAACACTGAGTTCTTCTTAGCCCCGAGGTTGCCTGGCACGGCTTAGTTAGCTAACTATTCCGGGAATGTCTCTATTATCTGTTTTACTTTGTAAAAGAAACTAGGGATTTGTTGAAAGCTGGTAATAAAAGTCTGCCCTGGTCTGAGCTGAGACTGCGTGGAGAGGGCCTGGGAAAGCATGACCTCCATGAATCAAGTTGCCCCCCCCCTCCAATAGCCACTCAATGATGTTATTTGGTTTCTCTGTGTTGGAGAATAATAAACCCACTAGGTTTTCTTGCAGACCAACACTCCCTCATTCTCAGGGCCTCTGGCATGGTCGAGGGGCACAAAACAATTTTAATGACCAAACTCCCTGAAAGTAAAATGGTTCATAGAGAAAAACTAACAGACTCACAGGTGGCTGGCTCTCCCAGAGGCATCTTCCTGGGGCTTGTGGCCCCAGGGATCCAGGTGCTGAGGGCTGTGTGTTCACAGTTCACAGTGGACTGAGGTCCAGGGAAATGATCCTCTAACCCTGCTTGAAAGATAAGCTTTCCAAGTTGGTGCTTACCTGTTCCAGACGTTCTGAAGACTTTGAGGCTTAGGAAGTGAGAACCACTCTGGAAAGCACAAACAAACACATTAAAAACCAAAAATAACCCTAAATTCCCATTGTCAAAATATTATTAAAATTCTACATGCTCTTGGGGCACCTGGATGGCTCAGTCGGTTAATTCTGACTTTGGCTCAGGTCATGATCTCGCAGTTAGTGGTTCAAGTCCCATGTTGGGCTCTGTGCTGACAGCGCAGAGCCTGGAGCCTGCTTCAGATTCTGTGTCTTCCTCTCTCTCTGCCCCTCCCCTGATCACGCTCTCTCTCTCTCTCTCTCTTTCAAAAATAAATAAACATTAAAAGAATTAAGAGAAAAATTCTACATGTTCTTCTTGGTTCAGGCAAAGAGGGTTCAGGCAAAGAGGGTTCAGGCAAAGAGAGTTCAGGCAAAGAAAGTTCAGGCATCAGGTAGGCTAAGTGAGCAATGTTTAAGGCCTCTTCTCATTGTGGATTTTTATGATGCTGTGGAACGTCACTATCATGGGTTGAATTATGTTCCCCTAAAATTGGTATGTCAAGGCCCTAACCCCAACTGCCTCAGAATCTGACTTTATATGGAAATAGGTCATTGCAGTTGTAATTAGTTAAGATGAGGTCATTGGGATGGTCCCTAGCCCAATATGACTGGTGTCCTCATTAAAAAAAAAAAAAAAAAAAAAAAGGGAAAATTTGGATACAGGGTAAGAGAAGATGTTGTGAAAAGACCCAAGAAGAAGACGAAGAAGACAAGACAAGCCAAGGAGAAGGAGAGAGGCCTTGGCCTCTCAGTTGCCCTCAGAGCCCTCAGAAGGAAACAATTCTGCCAACACCTCAATTTTAACTTTTTTAAACATTTAGATATTTTTGAGAGACAGAGACAGAGCCTATGTGGGGAAAGGGGCAGAGAGAGAGGGAAACATAGAATCTGAAGCAGGATCCAGGCTCTGCATTGTCAGCACAGAGCCTGATGTGGAGCTCAAACCCATAAACTGTGAGATCATGTCCTGAGTCAAAATGAGATGCTTCATCGACTGAACCACCCAGGCAGCCCCCAACACCTCAATTCTAGCTCTAGCCTCCAGCACTGTGAGACCACAGATTTCTGTGGTTTAAGTCACTGAGTTTGTGGTACTTTGTTATGGCAGCCTTAGCAAACTAATATGGTCACCATATTCACTAAAGTCAAATGAACATTTATTTAACAACTACTGTGTGCAGAACACGTACCAAGTGCTGGGGAGAAATCAAAAGAACCCTCCCCAACCTTGTGGAGCCTACAATTCATTTGCGAGAACAAAGTGTGCATGTGTATGCACACACACACACATACATGCATAAAAAGTCACATGATGAATGATGAGGTAAAGTCTCAAAGGCTCAAAGTGGTAAAAAGTGATGGGACTAATTTTATATGTCACTTACAGTAAAAATGGAAGTGAATTCTGGCTTGAATAACTCCAAATGAATGATGATAAGACTTGTCATTTTCTTTGGAGCACTCTTTACAACATTCACATGTGAACACATGTGTTTCTATTATTCCTGGTATCAACACTATTTAACCCAAAATAAAACCACCAGAAAAGGGGACAATTTCTCATTCATTCAAGAAGTACTAACTGAATGCTTCCTCTATGCACAGGCAACAAGAGATGCTGCAGGAGCTATAAACTGATGCTCCTTATCAAATCCCTTTATTACCCACTCAAGATTGAGAAAAGAGTATTTCAGCTCTCGCTTAAAATGTTGTTTCTTCCTTATATTTTCTTGGGCCTGAAATGTAAGTGTTTTTAAAAGAGCTCTTCTTCCAGCTCTTAGAGGAATGGAATACACCAAGACTGTTTACCCAACAAAAAATTTATTCATACTTGGGCAAAGAAATGATTTTGATAATACTAGCATATTCATTGTCTGTATATGCATTAAAAAAAAGATCTGGAAGCCTGGGTGGCTTAGTCGGTTAAGCGTCCGACTTTCACTTAGGTCATGATCTCGCGGTTCATGGGTTCGAGCCCCGCGTCAGGCTCTGTGCTGACTCCCAGCTCAGAGCCTGGAGCCTGTTTCGGAGTCTGTGACTCCTTCTCTCTCTGACCCTCTCCTGCTCACGCTGTCTCTCTCTCTCTCTCCTAGAAATAAATAAAACATTTAAAAAAAATTAAAAAAAAAAAGATCTGGAAGACTATGCATCTGGTAGGGATAATGGTTCTGGGGCTTACCCCTTTACTTCTATGCTTATTTTCTTAAATGTATTAAAAAAAAAACATGATTTTATAACTTCAAAAGTTAAGTTCAATTAAAAATAGAATTTATAGTGCTAAGACTTTGTAGAGTGGAACCAGTGTTCAAAGAAAGTGATTTCCATGGAGTTTTCAAGGTCAGATGTAATCAAATGAGAACCACTTTGCTGGTGATTTACAGTCCCAGGTAGGCACAAAGGGAAGTGCTTGTATATATCACTTCTTCACTCTCTATTCAGATGATTATGCCTGAATACAACTAACCAGTAAAAATAAGAATATCTGGTATTTGTTTAGAATGTTTATTTCCAAACCACTTTTGGCTGCCTATTTACAATTCTTCTCTGGCCAAACAAAATTAAAATATTTCCTCATTCAGTCATAAATCAATTTCCAGGGGCGCCTGAGTGGCTCAGTTGGTTAAGCAGCTGACTCTAGATTTAGCCTCAGGTCATGAACTCACTGCTTGTGGGTTCGAGCCCCACACTGGGCTCTGTGCTCACAATGCCACTGAGATTCCTTTGGACCCTCTGTCTCCTCTCTCTGCCCCTCCCCTACGTGTGTGTGTGCACATTCTCTTTCTCAAAACAAAATGAAAAAATATTTTTTTAATAAATCAATTTCCAACCAACATAAGGAAATCCATTTCAGTGCCCTCCCATGTTTTGTTTTTCTGGTCCTAGAGCCCTATGCACTGTGTTTTGGGGCCTTTAGTATTTAAAGCTGTTTCTAATGTAAGTGCTGTTCTTTCACAACATAGGCTTGGAATTAGCTGAATTAGGGCTTAAATACTGAGCCTGGGGTTTGAAACTGCTGTGTCAGCCTCACTGAGACCGTAAGCAAGATAGTATAACCATGGCCAGCCTGTTTCCTAAACTCAAGTTGGAGGTCAGATTCATCCCACAAGGACAAAGTGATTCATTGAATTCATTGAGATTTGTGAGGTTGTGAATGTAAAGTGCCTGCCTCTCAGCATTAAACAAAAATAAATCCTGTTCTTCTTTTTCTTCCTTTGAGAAGTGATGAGCAATGTAAACCCTGTGTGGTTTGGACCCAGGACCTGGGTTTTGAGTCCATACCATGCCACTTACCAGCTGTGAAACCTGAGGGTATTGCTTAGGACCCCACAGGCCCATCTGCATAAGGAGGATAATTATTATTTCTGCTCCACCGAGTTGTCATGAGAATAAGGATGATTAAGTGTAATATAAGTATTTCCTCACCTTTTTGTCTCTTTTCTTTTTGCCTCTTCTCTGGTCTCATGTACCATATTTTTCTCTCTACTCTCACCTCTCAGCTATTTCTGCCTTATTGTTCTCCTTCAATAACTTGCCATTGCACTGCAGTGAAATTCTAATATGCCTTAAGCTCTAGTTCTTACAAACCCCACTCGATTTCTTTTGAATCTTCAGCGTGGACCAGAGGTGTGTTTCTTAGCTGTGTGACGTAGTCATATGAACACAGGCCCAAACACGGGTTCAAATCTCCCTCCTGCCACTTGCGAGCTCTGGGATTTGAGGGAAACTAACCTCTCTGGTTAAGTAACTCAGAAGTTTCCAAATCTGTAAAACAGGAATACTTTTCCAGTTGCTTGGGAGGATTAGATAAGATGAAGCACTTGGAATATGGTAAGGGCTTAATAAATGTTAGTTTTATTCCTTTTTTTTTTTTTTTTGTCTTGTTTTCACTTTTCATTTTGGAGAGGCAGCATGGTCTACACAGTGGTTCTCAGGCTAAGCTGTATGTTAGAATCAACTGGGAGAGTTTCGAACCAAAAGGAAACCCTGGCTCCACCTTGCAGAATCTGATTCAATGAACCTGGGGACAGCCCAGCATTGGTCTGTTATTGTGTTGTTATTGTTGTCTTTAATAATCTCCAGATGTTTCTAGTGTCCCACTAAATAAGGCAGAAGGTGCTGGTCTAGCAAGTCACCACTCATCAGTGACTTCCATACACTTCTCTGAGGCTCATTTCTCAAACAAGCTAGTTGTGAAAATTCAGTTAATCAATGTATGTAAAAATTGCAGAACATAGTGTCTGATGCATACTTAATATATTTTTCAAAGATGTAAAAGAGGATGCATGGCAAGGGAAAGATCAGTCCTCATACATTCTGCCTGAGAGTTGTCCCAGGAGGCAATGTAACATTGAATTTGAGGTTCCATATCTTGCAAGACAGTGCTTGACTCTCTTCCCCCATCTGTTTTGTAGCTACAGTAGCTGAAATGGGGGGATTGATGTGTCCAGGGTACGATCAGTTTGCTATTTTGAAGCACAGCTAAAGCCCAAAGCTTGCAACCTGCCCGCCCCCCCATCCCACCCCCACTCTCCTGCAGATAACCTGATGCTGGATGACCTTGCCTCTCTCCCATTGATTTTTATCAGTAGTTAAGCTGCAAACGATCAATGAGAGAATGATCCACAAACAGGCATCCTACACAGCACCATTTCAAGTTTGTTTCTCTGGTTTCTGTAGCCTTTAACATAATAGGTCTATAGGTAGCTTTTTTCCCTTGTCTTTCCAAAAATGATGGTAAATCAATAGACTAAATTTTCTCCATCTCCTCCTTCTACAATTCTCTACTTTTTCTTTTGTAATTATTTTAAAAAGAGTTCTCATTTGAGTTCATTTGGAATTTGCGGTAGGAAAAGTGAAGAAAGTTGCAAAGGGAAACTTAAAATGCCAAACATATTAATTTCCAAAGTAAATGAAATAAAATTAAAATGAGGGCAGAAGTGTTGCTGCCATAATACAATAATGCATTTTTTTCTTTAAATCTTATTTCGTAAG